ATGATTTTTCAACTTCAAAATTACTTGCAAATTTTCACGATATTGTCATATTTCGTAAACATTTGAACTGTAAACTCTTATAAAAAAAAAATTGTGAATTACGATTTTTAATTTTTTTTAGCTACAATAAGAACAACTCATAAGGAACCTTGTAATCAATTTTCAAGTATTCTTGGTATGTAATCCAAAATTTTTTTCGACCATTATAAAATATAAATAAACACTTACCCCGGGTAACGGCCAACCACAATCCTCATGCTGCTGTTCAACGGCATCCTAAAAAAAATTAAATGTAAATCACAGTACATACAACACGAAAAAAATTTCATTCCAAATTATTATACTTACAACATTCTTGGAAGCAGAGTCCTTCTGATTGCCATGGGAAGTGGTGGGTGTCTCAATTTCAATGTCTTCTGCTGGTTCGGAATCGTCATCTACCAGATCAATGAACTGTACTTTGCGATTGCTAGGACGCTCGACCTAGTTAGTTGAAAAACATTTAGATACGTATTACCTTATACATGTAGACTAATAAAAACAAAATATAAAAAAATAATTAATGCAAATAAACATACCTAGTAAAAGCATTAAAGAACGAAAAATTTTTAAAAATCGAAAAACAAATTAACTTACTACGTTTGGGGGTGACAATTCATCATCTGATTCCACGTCAAACACCTGGATCGAAGTGCTCGGTTGGTTGATCTAAATAAAAATTTTAAAGTAAATTTAATTAGTAAACACCAGCAATGCCTGAGGTTAAAAATAAAAAAAAATTAATTACTCACATCACGTCTTGAATCCATTGCGTTGCAAATAATAATATAGACAACGGATTTCTATAATTCAAATTAATTATAAATTAATACATATTAATATATGCCTACCTAAATATAGTAAAGTTTTTGGTCAAATGAGTGTTTTATATAACGGTCTAAAACTATGTCAAACCTTAAATATTAACATTAGCCATTTTGATAATTTGAAATCATTCAAAAAGTATGTTAAAAATCTTGATCTGTCTATTATATAATTAATATGTTGTTATAATTATTTTTGTTCTAAATACTCTTATCTTTTACTCTGTTTAAAATATTGTATATCTATACTCTGCTACTTCTTAATGCCAACTATCACTAATTTATTATTTATGTTTTTATTTTAAGTAATATAATATAAGAACCGCTCCCCCAGCACAAGCTTTGCTTTTAGGGGGTGCTGCAAATAATTATTTTACGTACTTATACAATGTGTCACTTGTTGTTTTTGCAAAA